ACTTTTCTGCGAAAAAATTCTATCTCTTTATAATCTTTAAAAATAGTAAATCAAACTGCAGAATCTCTGGCACTTATGTACGAATCGAGTGTTGGCATAACTAAAATCCGATAAAGCATCGAATTATTTATTTTGCAAAATTCATGAATAATTTATCGCGCGAAATATCCTCATCTACACAATATATGTACACAATTAAAATTTTTTTTTTGATTTAACATATATCGCATAGCCTGAATAATCTACAGTCTACAAATTTTTGTGTTAATTTAATATAATATGGGTATGTTAAATGGTGACATTTATACTATATTAATATTTCAATACAAAATTGCAAAGTTCATAGCAATTTAAAATTAATTGCATGTAAAATGAATATATTTTTAATGATAAAATTAATTTAGAAAAAAAATTATTGTCCGCCTGCAGTTACTCTCACTTCTATTATAGAATAAAACCAACATTTTTTTTCCTGTAAATTTTAACAGATAAATCCTATCACCAACAATCCGGATATCTATTGTGTAAAATTAAAAATATGTGCACATTGTGTTATTTTTACACTTTTTTCAGTTGTTTTAATAATTTAACATTTGAATTTAATATTTAACACGAAAATTTTAACCAGCATATTTTCTAAGAAAATATAAATTTTCCAACTGTGTATTATGCGTATTGTATGTACGTCTATTGACTGCGATTCGACGGAATTGTCGTCGTGCGATGTAAAACGTACGGCTTCCAGGAACGGACGACGAGATGTCTGGCCGCGCGAGAGAGGAATATACCTGTATTTGGTGATCGTTGCCGCGCGAATCGATCTGAAAACCGTCCTCTATACCCCGACTATCCGCTCTTCGCGCGCGAGTAAGGATAGAGAAACTCGTTTCCAGTCGCCAAGGTCGATACACGGCGAGAAGAAGCCGGCGGCCGAGAGGGTCCCCCGGGAGTCTTCGGAATCTCGAGATTCCGAAGGACCCGTTCTACGCAGTAGAGAGCATCATACCGAGCTCCGCACATGTGCGGATGCACCTGCCGATGTATCCTCGTATCGTTGCAGTTACGAGCCTTGTTCCCCGATCATACTCGGTGTATCGAGTTAATCACCCTACTCGCCCGCGACCTCGCTAAACTAAGCCGGAGAGCGATTCTTTTTATTCTTTAGGAATTTCCGCGTCATATTTTCCAGATGCTATTCCGAATATACGTGTAGGATCTGGATACAGAATTATTTCAAACATTCAAACGTCCAAGTACACTCGGGTATATGTTTAGAGAAGACATGCCTATGATAAGTATGACTACACTTTACACGTCAGCTCTATAATCGGGTTTAATGACATTTATAGTTCTAAAACCGGCCAATTACAACTATTCCTCTGAAGAATGGAATGACCGTGATTGGCCAGCCTTAGAACTACGGATTTTATTAAACCCAATTAGGGTAACAAGAGATTAGGTATAAACGTAGTCTACGCTACAGGAATGGTCTCAAAAGGACAATCCAGGAATTCTGCTATTATCATCTCGTCGCGTATCTCGGATCGATAATAAATTAAATTCGCACTTACCGGTCTTTCCGTAGGTGCACTGGCAATAGAAGCTGCCGACGCGATCGATGCAGGTGGCGCCGTTGAAGCAGGCTGCACCTGCACAATCATCGATGTTGACGCTGCAATCGGGCCCGGTCCAGCCGTTCACGCATATGCACGAGTAACTGCCGTGCGAATTCGTGCACGTCGCCCCGTTGTGACACAAGGACGGCCGTACGGAACACTCATCCACGTCCAGCTCGCATTGCGTGCCCGTGAAGGCCGGCGGACACAGGCAAGAGTACTCGTTCACCCGGTCCATACACGTGGCACCATTTTGACAGAGATTGCCCGGACAATCGTCGATGTTCTCCTCGCAGTGGGCGCCTTGGAAGCCTGAAACACGAAAAGATCGCGATCCATTTTTATTCTCCATCTCTATTCAGAGTAAACATCAGATCTGAATCTTGAAATAAGCATTTTGCGAATAAATAGTAGCCAAAATCGATGTGCCTGAGGTACCATCAGGTAGATACATATGTAAAATGTGAAGAAGAGGTATATATAAGCGCGTAAAATAATTATATTAGAATTAATACGAATTATATATATAAACAGGTAATAAAGATCTTGTCGAAGATAAGGATAATGATAAGAGGCGACGCGCTATTATTTAAATAATTAAACTATCTTCCTTCCGTCGATAAAACAGGATCGCATGGATATATAATCGCGCTCTCAATCGCCGTAATTCGCTTTTATTGCTCGAATGCATTTGCATAAATATGATTCGCGGAGGTAATCGCGGTGCTATTAATAATCGCAAACCGCTCGGGAATATTTTCTAATCTGCGTTTAACGGGAGGGACCGGAATGGTGAAAGAAAGACGATTATCCAAAGGGAACTCATTAGCACAACACGTTCGTCGGCGCGAAAAATCGAGACGCACGGCCGTTATCGGACATTGGTTTTGCCGCATCTATCAAATCTGCGTGTCTCGATCGCCTCGACAGGCAGGCTCGAGTAAAGTAAAAAGAGATCGAGCTCTGACACGCCGAAAGAGGATATGAAGCGATGAGCTTCGATAGCCGTGAAATCGGCACTCCGACTCGCTGGGACGGATTTCTTCCGGTCTTCGTCGAGTCGCGCGAAGAAACGATAAGCAAATAGAGGCGGAATTAGAGACCGTATCTGAGACCGTGTCGCTTTGCACGCCGATTTTTACACCTTCAAACTGCCATTACGCGTAGTTCCGTCGTGAACGCCGTGTCTCGTCGGACATACGAGAAAATGCGAGCGACGAGGAATTTCCGGATTAACAGTCATTGTAAAAAAAAAAAAAAAAAAAAAAAAAAATACTGACTGAAACTTCGGACAAAGTGTCTGCATCTTTTTTGCAGACACACCGTCTGAATTTTCAGACGAAGTGATGTCTGAATTTTCAGACACATTCTTCTGAACTTTTGGAAAAACAACTCTGATGATTAGGACAGATCGTCTGACATTTCTTTCAGACACCCAGATCTGTGAAAATTCAGACAAAAATGTGTTTGAATTTTTATAAAATTTTTTTCTCGAGAGAGAGAGAGAAGATCGATGGAGATCGATGGTGGATTGGTCGAATCGACCTTGCATGACGCTCGATTATCCGCACATTACGGACCTTTATTCATTCGCCGTAGTTCGCTTTCTGCTCTCATTCTGCCGGGCAAAACAAACATTTGAACGCGCGGCGGCTAATGGATTCGCGATGGTCCGTCGTGACTTAAGAAGTCTTGCATTACATGTATATCATTACACAAACTCTTTTTGCTAACTGTGAATATATTTTCATAAAAATATAAATTATATATATA